AGCTCATGCATGTGCAAAATAATAAGTCGCACCAACCTCGAAACGAAAACCGACAGCCCTTCCTTTTCCTTGAGCCATCGCAGCTATCGCCCCGGTTGTAATCGTCGCCATAATCTTCTGTTACGGTCGTCATTCGCTACACATAGTGCCATGATTCTTCAATACTAAACTTGCTGCAAAAAGGATAGGATTCTTTACGTACCTTTTCGAATGTGTAGTTCGATGATGGGTCGCGAACCGTGATGCAAAAGGAAAACAATTCAGTTTCCTTCATTTCAGTTTCGAGCAGGTGTTTAGTTCGGGTAGGTACGGTATCGCATCCTACGGTACGTACTGTGGGTTCCGTACKGTACAGTACACCAAGCCGCTGGGTTCCGCAACGAAAACCGGTTTTATTTTAACACGGTGTTTTCACGCGTAAACAGTTCTCTCGCCTTGCCTCGTGCGTCCGAAAGCTTCACACTACGGGAGGATTGTTGAAGGCGGAAGATCGGGAGTTTGAAGTTGCGATGCGCGGACGTCGATCGATGTTTTGAGCACTGTGCGATAAATTTAGTCGTCTTAGTCGTCCTTCGGGAAAGGTTCTTCGATGAAAAACTAGCGCAGGGTAGATATATTGCACATACCACAGATACATAATAAGCGTTATGCTCTCAATCGTGTTGACAATACAACCCTCACACAAACACTAGTAGAAGCAGTAATGAAAAGAATTACACTCAAACGGGCACGGGCTTGAACCTAGGATCCTGTGGTGAGATCCACACCACTAGTATTACTACCATTAGGAGATACTACTAGTACTACTACTACTACTACTAGTACCACTACTACTACATTCAGTTGGGAGATGTACTACTACTAGCTATCATAACTACTAGCTGTAGCAGTAAGAAATATCCTTATGGATAGTAACAAGAATATTAGTAGTAGTATTAGTACTAGTATGTGAAAAACAGAAGTAGTAACAGAAAAAGTAATAGTAGTACTTGTTGTAATTTCAGTACTAAATCAACTACTGCTTAACTACTACTACTTCATTTTCTCAAACCATTTCTTTTTGTCTCATAGTTGTACTTTTAGTCATACTACTAGTTGCTCTACTATAACTAGTATATCTACTAGTATATCTATCTTCGCTTTAGCTTTAGCTCATATAGCTAGCTTCAGTCCAAGCTGTTTTTCCAGCTGTAGTGAAAGCTGTATTGGTAGCTGTAGCTATAGCTACTGTACGACTAGCAGTAACACTAGCTCCATAGCAGTAGCTCTACKATACGTTTGACTTTGAATACTATAGCTATCAATATCACTATCAGTATCACTATCATTACCTGTACCTTTAGCTACTCTACCACTAGCCGTAACACTTGCTCCAGTGCTCCTAGCTGAATTTATAACTTCAATCCAAGCTGTATTTCCAGCTGTAGTGAAAGCTTTATTCCTAGCTGTAGCATTAGCTACTACTATACCAATAGCAGTAACACTAGCTCCAGTGCTAATCTAGCTATACTAGCTATAGATAGCTGTGACAGTAAATATTCTTATGAATAACAACAAGAATATTAGTAGTATTAGTACTATGTGAAAAACAGAAGTAGTACCAGAAAAAGTAGTACTAGTACTTGTTGTAATTTCAGTACTAGATCTACTACTGCTTAACTACAACTACTTCATTTTCTCAAACTATTTCTTTTTGTCACATACTACTTGTTGTACTTTGAGTATAGTTGCTCTATAACTATATCTACTACTAGTAACTCTATCTTTGCTTTATCTTTAGCTCATATAGCTATCTATAGCTATCTACTAGCTAGTAGTAGTATCTCTAGCTTTGCTTTAGCTTTAGCTCATATAGCTAGCTTTAGTCCAAGCTGTTTTGCTAGCTCTAGTGAAAGTTGTATTGGTAGCTGTAGCTTTAGCTACTATACAACTAGCATTATCACTAGCTCCAGTGCTACTCTAGCTATAGCTATAACTACTAGACTACTAGTAGAACAAGGAGAGGAGGAACAAGAGGAAGAAGAACACCAAGAGGTGAGGAACAAGAACCACCAGCAGCACCAACACCATCCTCATGATACTACTAGTAGTACTAGTAGTGGGCAACAAAAGCTTCTTTTTCTTCTTGTTGTTCATCATTTGGAATCTGTGTGGTGTTGTCAACAAGAAGAGGAGGAAAAGCACCAGCAGCACAGCAGAGGAACAACAAGGGGCACCACTACTAGTAGTACTAGGAGATAAGCCATACTACAGCACTAGCTGTCACTTCTTCTTCTTCTCTGGATTTCTCTCATGGGCAGCTGAGGATGAGAAGGAGTAGTTGCCAGCACAAGAAGGTGTGGCAGTCCTGGAGAAGCATGACTGGTAGTAGTGGAGTGACAGTGTTTACTTCTAGTAGTACTAGTATTGCATCCTCACCACCAGGAGGAAAAGAAATACAGATGTAGCAGCCTTCAATATCCTCAGCAGCAACAACAGGATACTATAGTATAGTGACTTCCATTGACTGATATGATATCTTATTGTATTTTGACAAAAAATCTTAATATTACTATATTTAATGCTGTTTATAGGATATCAGACTGTGAGCAGTATGACTCATATCTACAACACATACATATGATACGTATCTACGRTTCATACACACCATACATATATGATTCACTCAATCCCATTGGATTCATACGATCGATATGACTCATTTCATTCACTTGCGTGAGTGACTTGACTCATTTGATTCACACATCACTTGATCCTCACAGTGATGGATTCTAGATTTCATAGTTTGTCCATCCTCGATAAGAGCATCGACTCACTTTTCTTCTACCACACATTTTACATCACTATTAGGACAGTCACTCCCACAGGTTATGACACCCTTCCAATAAAAATCATCACCACCATGGTGATAATTTTTTAGGCGTGCTCTCTCCTTCATTACACGACTCTACCAAACACTTGGTCAACACACRCCTTTGTACAACACATCGACAACGCATAAAACTTGTTATTTGGCAACGACAAACCCGCTTCCATTTTTTTACTCCCACAACGAATAAAAAATAATTCCCACGCGCGCACGTACCCGTGTACTAACCATATCCCCCTTATTCCCACAAGGCGACCATCTCACGTTGCATGACCAACCCGCGTTGCCGTAAAACTTCGATTTACAGCGATATTCAAGCTTCTCACGAAAACCAATACTTTTACGACAAACTTGCACAACATATCGCTTCACAACGTCTCCCATAAAATATAATTTTTAGCATCACCTTGTGAATGAGAAGAGGTGCTTGCTGGTGGACCAGAACCACCACTTTCTTCTGGGAAGAAGAATGGTCTGCTTGTCTGAGGGGTGGCACCTCCCTTCTAGGAGATGTGATGGAGGCACAACTAGGTCTTTGTCTTCTTCTTCTTGCATTTTAACAATACTACTAGTAGTAGTACATCCCCAGCATATACAAAAATTCTAGTAACTGCAAGAAGATTGAACAACAAGAATGGTATCACCACCTAGCATGACCAATGCGAGGCCCAGTCTGGTGTTGGGATGGGCTGGTGGATGACTAGAGTAGTTTGAAGGAAGTTTCTCCAACAGATGTACTTCCCAGAAGTCTCTAGATGTGGATCAGGAGGCAAAGGTGAGGAACAAGGCTTCTTCCCATGAGGCATCCAATAAACACTATGCTTCAAGCAAGAAGAAGAATGAGTACTATGAGGAGGAGGGAAAGTTATCCTCAGCTTGGATGAGAGGACCTGGGATTGGGAAATCCTGTCAACAGTCATGATGATGTGAAGCAATTTGTCAACCTAATTTCCACCAAAAAGGGACTGATCTGAAGGTACTAGTACAACAACAAACCTCAGAGTGCAAATGACATAATAGTAGAAGTTTTGATACATTACTAGTAGTAGTAGTACTATATTTCTTGGATGACAATATCTTCTTGAAGTAAGAAGAGGAACCATCATACTACTAGTACTAGTACTACTACTACTAGCAATTTTAGAAATTTTCTATCAAATCTAATCTAAAATAACAGTTTGGTGGAATGATATTTTTTGTCTCTCAATTGATCTGGTGAAAGATTCAATTGGAAGCTCAGAAAAATTCAAACATCTGCTTGCTTGATATATCATAGTAGTACTAGTAGAAAATTGAGAATAATGGGAATGAACTAGTAGTACTACTAGTACTAGTAGTACTAGCAGCATTGGTGGGCCATTCCCATCATTATTCTTCTAAACAAATCTACTACTAGTAGTAGTATACTCTAGATTTAGATTATTTAGTAAGGGGTCAAGGGTCCTCTTCAAGAAAAATCTAGACTTGGGGACAGTTATGATAATTTTAGTCTGTCAGTTTATCAAATCTAGATTGTCTAATTTTTGGTTTTTGGACATGCGGTACTAACCCCAACCTTATTCAACCAAAATTATCTATCTGAATCAATGATCCCCAAAAGAAGACGTTTTCAACATTACGTCATTCGACCCTGAAATCAGAAAAAAATAGAAAGCGTACGTACAGTATATTACACGTACAGTAACGTACGGTGGAAATCAGACGAACACACATCATCACGTCATAGAAACGTATCTTACGTACCACACCTGTACGTACTCGTACCTTAGGTACCTAATCTGTACAGCAGTGTCGCCATCACTGCATCGGGATGTTCTTCTTCGTTTCTGTTTTCCTTCAGTGTTTTATTAAAAGCTGCTGCACGCACGTACTCTTGGGTCCCCGGCAGTACTATCATGGTGCTGTATCCAACTGTGTGCATACGTTTGTACAGTACCGTACTACCTTGCGGTGGAAACTGTTCTATGGAAAACGAAGAAAAAGAATGCAACGGTACTACGTAGTGAAGTTACGGTACGTTGGCTCGAGTACGGAAGACACCGGTATAGTACGGTAAATCAGAGCAGTGACGATTTTGATGGGAATGACACGTGTGACCCCGTCTTTGTAATACATTAATGACCCCTGTTAGTGTATTACTGTAACGTACATGTAAGTACGATAGACTTTGGTGCGTGTATCACACTCCCTAAACTAAATTCATCGGTGTTCGTACTTGGGTACCGCTCCGTAATGCGATGTACCCGATCCGATATGAATGCGACGGGTCGATTCAAGTTCCATTTCGACTTCACAACAGCTACCTGCAAACAATCCTCATCATCGGACTGTACCGATAACATTGGAACCATCAGAAACGAAACGACACCAAACCACAACACCACGTTTCGCACCGCATATCCACCATGGCAACCAACAGCAATGACGTCCCGAAAAACGACAGCATTCTGTCTGATGAACACGACTGCACGTCATGGCACGCCGGTGGCGACTACAACCCGCTCCCGCACGTATTGCCGGAGGGAGACAACGCGGCACCTCTCGAGGTGATGGGATCGAGCGCCAGCGACAAGCTGGTCATCATCATGGTCGGTCTTCCGGCCACCGGAAAGACCCACATCGCCAAGCGTATCTGCCGCTTTCTGAGTTTCTTCCACGACATTCCCTCGCAGATCTTCAACGTCGGCGACTACCGCCGCCAGCTGTGCGGGGCACAGCAACCCGCCTCCTTTTACAACCCGGAGAACGCCGACGGGTTGGCCCAGAGAAAGGTCGCCTGTGACGCCGCCCTTGCAGATCTGATGGAGTACATGTCGGAGGACGGGGTGCGGGTGGCGGCTCTGGACGCAACCAATTCCACGAAGGAACGCAGGAGGCACATCAAGTCGGTTCTCAAGAAGKAAAAGAACAACATCAAGACAATTTTTGTCGAGTCGATCTGTGACGACGAGGCCGTGAGTATGAATAGTGTCGCAGCGAATCTCGATACCGATCTTTGTGTGGAACCCATAGATTGCTATGCGTGTATGCGTGGGGGTGACATGAGCACTGCGGGATAGAAGTCGAATGTTTTGATGTGGAGATCTACCTTCGTTGGCACTTCTCACAAAATTTCTGTCTTTTTTGCGTCTCGTGATTTGGATGCTGATTTTTGGACATCTGCTGTAATTTCAATAACGACCGAATAAATTTTCATTTTTGCTATCGTGGACTGCCGACGACACGCAAAACGACACCGTAATTCATTATGTACTAATACGCATAACACCAATAGATCTTGCTGTCTAACATTCACAAGGTCAAACTCAGTACTCCCGACTACAAGGGAGTGGAAGAATCCAAGGCCGTTGCCGATTTTATGGCCCGACGTGCCAACTACGAAAGATACTACGAACCCGTCGAAGAAGACGATGGAGCCTTTTGCAAGATTGTCAACTCGCACCGGTACGTCGTGCACAATATCCGTGGCTATCTTTCTCTAAAGGTCGTTCATTTTGTTATGAACCTGCACACGATGCCCCGAACCTTTTATTTGACGCGGCACGGGCAATCCGAATACAACCTGCTGGGCAAGATCGGTGGGGATTCCGGCCTCACCCCCGCCGGGCTCGAGTACGCTCGCCGGCTGGCAATTTTTGCCAAGGAGGAAATTGCCACCCCCCGACCGGAGGATCACATGCACAATGGCGAGGTGAAATCTGGTGGCAGCGACAACGAGGGCCGGMTCCAACGGCCCTGCCGGCTGTGGACCAGCACCCTACGACGAACCCGGGAAACGGCACAGTTCATCGAACACACCAACTTCCGCCACACCTTTGACAATGGTGACAATTCCGATTGGTGCCAGTTTCGCCCCAAGCCCCGCCGGAATCTCGACGAGTTGTACGCCGGAACCTGCGACGGAATGACCTACAAGGAAATCAGCGAGGTCTTTCCGGACGAATTTTCACGGCGGCAGGCCGACAAGCTCAGCTATCGATACCCCCGCGGAGAATCCTACATGGATGTGACGCTTCGGTTGGAACCGCTGGCACAAGAAATGGAACGCATCCGAGAGCCCCTCCTGATCGTCGGCCACCAGGGAATTTTGCGCATTTTGTACGCCTACTTTATGGGGCTAGATCGGAAGGAAGCACCCTACGTGTCTATTCCGCTGAACAACGTCATCGAACTTACGCCCCATGCGTATGGATGCCACGAAAAACGGTACTGCCTTATGATGAAGGAAGAGATGCTTGCAGACGGACAGGACGAGCCCGTAACCAGCATGCCCGTCGCCCAGAAGGGCTCGCAAGACGTTGGATTGTACGACACGGCCAAAAAGAAATGGACCGTCCCCCGAGCTGAGCTCCTCAAAAAACGCAGTAGCGTTCAGGAAATCGACGCCAAGTACGAAGAAGACGACTCTATCATGAACGCTCCCAGCTGCTAATAGATAGGACTGTGCAATAGTATCATGGTACAGTAGAATAAATTAGCACTTTATGACAATAACCCATACCGACACGAAATTCTACGATGCTTTACAAAAAGAGAACCTTGCTTTTCTTATTTGTATCCATCACCGAAACTCCTAATCATTCTTCGGAACCTGGTACTAATGGTGGATTCAGCAAACAGTGAATGGTTCACGCTGAACAGTAACAGTAGAAGTGATGTGCATTTATCCCAGCAGAGATTAATTCAATCAACCATAACATTGCGATCRTGTTTGACACACATTGAAAAGACTTTGTCTCCCTATGGCTGTGCAGCACCACAAGTATTAACCAACAGAATTCCCATCATGACTCAACGAGTATTCAGTTGTCAAAAATTTTCCACTCACAAAATCAAATCGTTTCTTTTGTCATTCTTGTTTTACAAAAATACAAATTCTTGCCTTGTCACCACAACAACCCTGTGATGAAGACTACTAGCTTTTTTGTTGCTGATTTTTTATTATTTTTTTGGTAGCTGTTGAAGTGGCAAATAGTATTGAAGTAAAAAGCTGCTGATTCTGTGTCCAGCAGTAGTATGCTCCATGTTAATGCTATACTAGTACTAGTACTAGTACTACTACTAGTACTACTACTACTACTAGTACTACTAGTACTAGTACTAGTACTACTACTACTACTACTACTACTACTACTACTACTACTACTAAGTATGTCACTGTGATGTAGTACTTTGTAGTATAATCAGCTAACAGCAGTAGACTTGCTGCACCAGCTGATGTTTAGTAGCACTACAACTAATGATGTCATAGATAGTAAAAGTACAAGAAGAAACAAGAAAGATTGTGTATGATATACTAAGCACCACCAGAACAAAAATTCCATAATACTCTGAACAAACAGCAGGGGAATGGTTGCCTGCTGCTGTAACAAGAACAAGCTCAGGTTATATTGCACAGAAGCTTCCTTCTTTGTCAGGTTCACCTTTTGACACCAGAAGAAACAAGCAATACATTGTGATATTGACAGKGGTAACATAAATATCTGGATGGTACATAGAATTGTTTTCTTGTTATGGAGAGTTGGCCTTTGAAGTTCATCTCCACAAAGGAACGATGGTGGACTAGTACTGCCATGATTACTAGTGACACTACTATTAGTAGTAGCAGAAGTGAAGCAGTAAAAGAATACAAGCTGATGGTCACAATCAAGAAAATGATTTGAACCACCACTTATCTTCATGTACTAGTAACACCAGCAAATCTACTGTCTTTTAAACTACTACTAGTAGTAGTACTGGTATAATAGTACTACTACTAGTAGTAGTACTGGTATAATAGTACTACTACTACTAATGCTACTATGACTGTTAGTAGTAGTACTGCACAGATTCTCCATAATGCACTGAAATAGTCACTGTAAAACCCAAATAAAATAATGAAAACACACCAACAAAAACCTAGTAAAATCACCAACCATACTACCTACTAGTAGTACTAACAAGAAATACTACTAGTAGGACCAAAAATTGAATCTTAACCTCAGCTATACTACTACTGTCATTCAGTGTATACTGCATATTATTTCTGCAAAGTATCAGTTTATTATTGGTGGTATCCTTTTGTACTATGATAGTAGTTTGGTATCAAATAGATCTTTATACTCTTTACATAGACCTAGGCCAGATCAATACACAGCAAACACAAATTGGACAAGACAAGAACAAGTAGTATTCTGAAGCTATTACTAGGAAGAATGGAATACTCCTAGTAGTACTAGTGGTGGTAGTAGCACAATTAAAATTGTGAAACTTGTTGTTGCTGTCTGTAGGATATCAGACCGTGGGTATGACTCATACATACGACACATACATACGGTACGTATCTATGATTCATACACACCATACATATATGACTCACACAATCCCACTGGATTCATATGATTGACATGACTCATTTCATTCACTTGCGTGAGTGACTCGACTCATTCGATTCACACATCACTCGATCCTCACAGCGATCCATTTTAGATTCCATAGTTCGTCGATCCTTGAAAAGAGTATCGACTCACTTTTCTTCTAGCACACACTTTACATCACTTTTAGGACAGTCACTCCCACAGGTTATGACACCCTTCCAATAAAATTCATCACCACCATGGTGATAATTTTTTWGGCATGATCTCTCCTCAATACGAACTCTACCGACACTGCGTCAACACACACCTTTGAACAACACATCGACAATGCATACGCCGCCTTGTCGCTACCATCGTCTTCGACAACTCCTATGCCTTGTCGCTGCCATCGTCTTGGAAATTATCATTACACAGTCACGACAGTAATCGTTACTCAGCCACGATTTCAAAACGACCGCCATTGTCGCCGCTCACAATGCTTTTTCGCATCTCAAAACTTTGGAAATCTTTCAACATTTCTCTTTTTTACGATCAACGAAACTTATTTGGCGACGACAAACCTGCTTCTATGTTTTTTAATTCCCACAATGAATTAAAAATAAATCCTACGTGCATACTATGCACGTACTAACAATATATTTCTTATTCCCACAATRCGACCATCTCACGTTACACACGACCATCTCACGTTACACATCCAACCCACATTGCCGTAAAACTCCAATTCAAAACRAAATTCAAGCTTCTCACAAAAACCGGTACTTTTACAATAACCTTGCACTTCAAATTGCTTCACAACATCTCCCATAAAATATATTCCTTCTGATTCAGATCAAATATATTTTATACTTCYGACATCATCTCACCCTTCAAACTCCAACATGACTAAAACCAGAAGCGCGAAGCGCACCTTCTTCCCCAACATCGACTACACCCAAGCTATCTTCCTTCAGCATCACAGTTATCCTGAACTCGCGGAACCAATGAACACTRCATATGGTTTCACAGGCAAATTCATTGCTTACCTCAACAAAAATCAAGATGCCTTYGAAGATGTCGCCAAATTCATCCCAGCCGTCAAAGAAACTATCATTGAATACATCAAAGACAATGCTTTCAACACTCTCAATGGTGTAAAAGTGGTGAGGTTATTATAAAAAACTGAGAAAATGTTATCTGCAAATCTTATTGATCAAACCAAAACATAACTTCTCTAGCTGGTCATAAACTATGATGGTATAGTACGGGCAAGGAGCAAATGCAAGATACTGTTGTAGATTTTGGGCCCTTATTTTTGTGTGTAATGACTAGTAGTTTGACCAAAAAWGGGGCTTGCACTGCAGTTTACACCAGCCAGCTGGGCACAAGCTGAATTTTTATTCCCATGAATAGAAGTTTTGTGTGTACTCCTCCTCACTGGTCCTTCAACTTTAACACATGCTACTAGGAGTGTAATTTTTATTCCATGATCCATTGTTACACAGTAAAAAAATAGCCCAAAATAAACAARMCATGTGTTTTTTTACTGTATAACTGAATAAATCTTGAACTGACAGTGGGTGTATCTTGGTCCCCAATAATTGCATAGTAACATTGATACACATATGAATCAATAGCAAATTTAGTCTAGTAGGGGGTTGTTTATTATTAAAAGGTAGTAGTCAGGCCTGCAGCCTGTATACTGAAGATAAAATATGTTATGACTGGTGCGTCTGGAATTTTCTTGCCCATGCTATAGGATACCAACTCTAAACACTTCTGCTAGTTACAGAAACCAGCCCTACTGGAACAATCATAAAAGTTGGAGCTATAGTACCCCTACAATGTGTACTGCATATTGTTGCTGATCTTGGTTGAAACAATAAATCCAGTAGTAGTACCCCACATCTATTCTGAACCCCACAGGTGAAACATAGAAATTGGGACTGTGGTTTGTTGAGGGATTACTGTAGGGTACTTGAGTAGCCAGCATGAAGTTAGCCGCTAAGCGTTGTAAGATGGAATCTACTAG